TAACCTTAAATTTACTTAATGAAATAAAATGGGCATAAAAATGGCAATATATGCTGTGATTCAAAGGGATATTTTGTCTCTTCATATATCATAAACGTATAAGAACTTTRAAGTTCGAATTAATGAAGTAATTGCATGAATTTGGTGACATTTTATGCTATTTCCTTATAGCACAATTAAGTTATTATTCACGGAATACATAATGTTTTGAGGGGAATAAAGTACATTCGAATTCTACCATTCTCGTTGTCTATCATTAATCATAAATAAATACTTTATAACGCACAGATGGATTGGTTCAAAAAACTTCAGTTTGGCTACTCATCAATTTTTTTGCTATTTGGAAAATACACCATCTAATGCTTGTTTCGTAATTTAAAACCAGGCAGTTAGTGAAAAGCTCATCGAAACTGAAAAGAAGGGCTTTTAAATCTAGTTCAAAGTTTATAGTTTGAGGAGTTCCACTGCCGCAAAGTATTCATCTTTAGTCTTATAAGGAAACGACTTCTTCAGCGGAAGTCAAAAGAATAATATTGTGATATTTATTGTGATATTTATCGCCGTCATCTTAGTAGCAATTAAGTTAAAAGCACTCTTGGCTAAATTGCAGATGGCTGTCAAATCCAGAGCTTCTTGTAAACCGCAAAAATAGAAGCCACTCATTCGTGGAAAGTTCGCATAACCTTCTATTGAACAGTTGTCATTCTAATTGGTCCTCCATTTTCAAAATTGGTGTAATTATCGTCATATACCTGTTTGTGTGATGGTGCTAACTCACCCACAATGGTGACCAATTGCCAGCAAGGCATCTACTTCATGATCTCCGTTCTGGCTTTTTCTATATCTCTTGTTATTACTAGGCAACTTCGTCCTTCGCAACTTCGTTAAAGTAATAGTATACACGACTTTCAAAAATGGTGSTAGTTCACGACCGCCAATATAGGGGACTAGTGACGAATCATGGAAACGARACCTCAAAGGCCTTCCATCTAGAAATYACTACAAATATCGCATGTAGGTAGTGTCGAAAAGTTTGAAAGATGTATTGGTATGTTRTTAATTATAACAAAACACTCTTGCAAGACACCATCGAAGTTTACTATACAGAGAGTGGCCTTCTTTGAKACMTCTTTTTAATGCTTCGTCCCCAGTGCCCTGGTCGGCGACCATGACATATCTCGCCATTTTTGAAAGTCGTGAATTTCATAAATTATTATTCCAATATAGCTATTATGTGTTTTCAGGCAGTCTAATATAGTAGTATAGTAGTATGGTTTTTTACATCCCATTCAATGTTAGTCCTTTCAAATTTAGAAGTTCACCAAATAAGGAGTATTGGAAACACTTATAATAACGCATTCCGGACAATTCTTTTATAGTGTAAACTTTATTAAAGTCTATGGAAGACAGCAGTCATCTTCGGACGTGGACTACTAAAATTTAAAAAATGTTATGCATGCAGACGTACTATAAAAGAAATGTAAATAATCGTACTATAAATARCATGATTGATTATGGCTTAAAATGCTCATAAATAGARCGAGATCGASCAAGGGTATTTAKTCCTRAGGCTGCAATYGTAGGCACTGGCAAAAGAGGTAATGGAAAAACTTAACTAAATCGTCCATTCGAGGTACTAATTTTATATTTTAGCTTTGAAAACATACCGGTATCTTAAACATTTTGTATATATGCCCCTTCAGATATCGTAAATTAAAAGTCAGGAATTTTGTGAAAACTAGCTAGGAACATTGATACGTGCTACAATACTCTAGTCGATTACACATCAAAAATTTCAATTTAAGATCTTTTTCTGACTTCAGTTTGACAGAAATTATCAATAGTTTTAGGATGAACCGTCGGGAAATACGGTTTCTTGTCTTAGAGTCCTTATCTTTGAGTCCGTCTTTATTCTTCATGAAAATCTGTCCAGTTACCTTTTTAATTCAATCCTGCATAGAAATGGAAACATAAGCTTTCTCATCTTCGCTTACGGTAACCATTGTTTTCTGTCTCTTATTATTCGTCCATTTAAGGCTGCATATCTACTTATCTTTTTACAGGAAGATGGTTAGTTTGTTTGTGAAAATAGCTGTTTTCACAGTTGTAATATGTTGTAAAAACGCTTCTACTCAAGGTAATACGTTGAAAAGGATGAAAAGTGATTATGCTCCATTTTCACACACAGGGCCTAACTGCCTCTCTAAAATAAACCAGCGTACTCCAAGGGCAGGACCCGGACTGTTTTCTTTGAGGAGGATCATTTATTTAGCCACTGAGGCAATTTTATTCAAAAGTGTACTTATTAAGTTCCGTAAATCACATAAACATTAGAAGTTAAAGAAGTAAGGTTATTGGATGCATCACTGTATTGAATATTCATTCATTTCGGTTTGGTGTTGAACTATTAATATTACTTCAATTATCGTTTGATTGCTCATAATTGAGTTAATTTTTATTTTTTGAGTTTCCTAGGAACGAGGCTATTAAAGCCTGTACTGCATGGAACTTTGATAATTCCTAATAACACTCTGACCTTGACAATTCCAATATTACAAAATTTCCTCATTCTTTTCGAATAATTTTAATGTCAACATATTTTGAACTATGACAGATAATAATTATCTTTAATCTTAATAGTTTTTAAATGACACTTAATTATAGACATTAGTCACACACTACTAGTCTCAGCCCCTACTCGTTTCTCATTCATATGTCGTATGGTCAAATATTCAATGTTACTTTTCTTTAGCGTAACCAGTGTTTTCCGTTAAKAATTGAAATGCAGACTCCATACTTTTCAGTGACACATGCGTTCATAAATGGTCTTTTTTTGCAAAATAAAATCATAAAACCACTATAAAAACATGATAGGTTTCTCAAGTTTATCGGTGAGGATTGTGACTAGGAAAAATTGGATTCAGCTCGCTTTTATCTACTACTTCAATAAAATGATCAAAAATTAAATTTTAAATCATATGTATTCTTTAAGATATCTATAGCCCTTGGGGCAAGTGGACTCCTTGCAGTACTGAATACGGTGCTTGTGGTAAAGGCGTGCAGTGGAGATTTAGACGTTGCCTTGACTGGTCTGCATATATCTGCGAAAATACTTTCGAAATCAAAAACTGTCACAAGCCATGTAAGTATTGCAGAAGAATTAGCAYTCTGACTCAATGGAGCCTGTTCCGTATTTCATTATTCTATATCTTAAAGGCATTGTTGATGGTAAATGGTCGAGATGGGGCTCTTGGAATTCGTGTTCAGTTACATGTGGCGGTGGTAGCCAATCAAGATCAAGGACGTGTTCAAMTCCAGCACCAGCTCATGGAGGCAAAAAATGCACGGGACCAAATTCAGAAACTCAGTCTTGTGCAATGACAACTTGCCCATTACGTAAGTGTTTCTAACATCTATAATTACTTTATTGTACCACTTCTATCGCATTTGTAATAAATGGGAGCTCGCAGGAAAGACGAATTCTGCACTGTAATATATTTTCAAATCATGTATGCGTTATGTTTCAGCTCCTCGCAACGGTAATTGGTCCTCATGGGGTTCTTGGGAATCTTGCTCAGTCACGTGTGGTGGAGGTAGACAATCACGAACAAGAACATGCACTAATCCAGCACCAGCCCATGGCGGTAAAAACTGCACAGGACCAAATTCAGAAWSTCAGTCTTGTGCAACGACAACTTGCCCATTACGTAAGCGTTTCTAACATCTAATTACTTTATTTTACCACTTCTATCGCATTTGTAATRAATGGGAGCTCGCAGGAAAGAAGAATTCTGCACTGTAATATATTTTMAAATCATGTATGTGTTGTGTTTCAGCTCCTCGCAACGGTAATTGGTCCTCATGGGGTTCTTGGGAATCTTGCTCAGTCACGTGTGGTGGAGGGAGCCAATCACGAACAAGAACATGCACTAACCCAGCACCAGCCCATGGCGGTAAAAACTGCACAGGACCAAATTCAGAATCTCAGTCTTGTGCAAC